TGAACCCCAAACGGACCGCCACCCACTCAAATTTTATAACCCTGACCGGTCAGAGGGCGAATGGAGGTCATTTCCTGGGCATTACACTCAGCCCTTGCACAAAATATCTCACCTCACAGTGATCATTACAACAATAGCACCGACTTGATAGTGGATTTCAAAGTACTTGCATCAGCTCTTCCTGCTATTGCAGACGATCATCTCCTCAGGGTAATGTTGTTCGGGACATGAACGAAGATCGTTTTCGGAGTTTCATAAGTGCTACTGCAACAGCCTGGCACAAAACAGGACTTGTACGCTCTTCTCTGCACTTTGCCCTTCAGTATATCACAAAAGAATTGTTTAGAATCCATCTTACGCTTCTTTCACAGTCTTCCTTGCCACCGTAGGGCGTAGATAGATTGCTGTTGCTGGTAAGTTAAGGCACGGTAGATAGAAATTACCTCGGTTCTCAACGCCTTAAGTTATTTTCATAAAAAAGAACAAATAAATGATCAATAAGATGACAGGAATGTAAACATTTTAATCGTAAAGTAGTCCAAATATTGGAATGAGCTTTTGCTTTTCAGCATCCTCCGATTCATCATCTTTATCATTTGAAAATTCGAGGTACATAAAATGTTTATCACGCGCTCATGTTAAGTGGGAATATAGTACACGGCAGACACATCAATTTTTGACACTGAACATTTCATCCGTAAATGTTTTAGCATAATTTAAAGTTAAAAACAGCGCGAATGGCAGAGTGAAGCAAACAACATCTTTCACCCATTGATATAACATGTAATCTGTGGTGCGCCAGATGCGCCATTATTTGTCAACCGCAGAAGGTGACATGTGACGTAACAGCATCAAGAGCATCTTTTTTCAAGAACTTTTCAAAACAAGTTTCCTATCTTTCTTCCCCCATTTCTCTCAGCTTATTGATTTTATGAGGCAATGGTATGCACCATAAATTCTGTGAAAATAGTTTGATCATTTTCATGCATTCTTAAAAAATCGAGTTCCCAACCCCATTGCACTTTCCTGGCTCCACCTAGTCATATATCACATTGTCCCTAGCAGAACTAATCGTACGTGGTTCTGAAAGATTCCAGCTGCCTATGCACGTTTGTCTGTTGATTAGTCAGCTGCCTATGCTGTGACCTGTCGGTAAGGCATTGCGTTTCTCGGAAATGTGTTACTGATTTATATCATCGTTAGCATCAAAGTGTGACACTAGATTGCGCATCGTTATACAGGGAATAAACACCCTGGTATGTACCCACTTAAAATAGATTGCATACAGGCCACATATTGCAAGATCATATGCATGGTATGCATGACCTGTCAAGCGTCAGCTGTTTCGAGACCCCCCCCCCCCCCCGCCTGCCCCTGCTCCCAAGGCACAATTCACATCTGAGGAATTTGTTCACACCAATTATTTAGAGCAGTGAGCACGTGTGTGGGCAGTTGTACTTCCTAGCGCTGTTTATTTTCGGTAAGAGTATTGCGATACGACTGGATATTTTGGGGGGGATGAAAGTGCAGTGCAACGTATTTGATATCACATATAGTGCGATATTCTTCTTTCTCTATTGTGGGAGCCCCGAGCCACCGGCTAAGTTCGCACCAATTTCGCAGCGGCAATGGCAACGATTGAGTGTGTTGATGCGCCGTGGCGTCGCGTAGCACAGATTTTCCAACCTTTTCAGAGCTTCTTTTCGCTGTATTTTTATACGACACGGCCACTGAAAGCTGCATATGCTCCATCTTGACGCGCCTCGGTGAGTCTCAAAACATCGCATCTTTTCAGTTTCCACCAGTCAGTTCTTATCACCTTCCACTTCACTAGCCTCCCTCCCCTCCCCGTCCCCCGGCACCTGGTGGTATACTTCCTCCCTGCCGGTAGCATGTGTGGCCTCCCACGGCGGTCGCCGGCCGGCGGTCACATTTCACGTTTGGCCCGCGGCGACGCCCGTAAATTGGCCACGTCCGGTGGCGGCCGGGGCTGCCGGCGACGGCCTTCTCTATGGGCTGCCAGATGAGCTGCCAGATCCGGCACCCTGGAGACCGGTGGCGGATACCAGACTCGTCTTGGTGGACGGACTCTGATAGGGTTCTGGGGCGAACCGTGAGAGGGTCACCGAGTTTTCCTGGTTCTATTCAGCTCACGAGATTTTCAAGCCACAATTTCATATTGTCATTACAGTTGCTGACTCTTCAGTCGCCAGTGGGTAATGCCCGTATTTGGTTTTCCAGATCATCCGTAACATTTTTACAGCCACGGATTGATTGGATAAGGTGAACAATTCCATTCTCCTGTTGGTTATTATCATATAGGGATGCAAGAACGATTCAGAAACAAATGCACACCTCTAGCAGTTCAGCCAGTTTCTCAGTTCTTATATACCGGTAGCCACCAACATGGCAACCAAGAGAGGATAACATCTCAACTCTCGAATCATTTCCGCATCCGAGTTTTTCCAATAGCCTGATGCGTCTATTTCAGCATTGACTGCGGCGCGCCAGGCGGGGAAATCGTAAACAACATTTTTCAACACGAAGCAACACGCTATTTACCGCCTGTGTCTGGGACATTTCAGTGGCACAGACGGACAGACAAATAGCACTCCAACATCAGCCTTCCCGGTCTGTTATTGAGAAACGTTTTGTCTCCCAGCACCTGAAAACATAGATAATACGCATGTCAAAGCATATCATTCAGAATACATTCATGTGGCCATTTAGAACCAACTACTTTACACACATAGGTAATTTGTCTTTCACCAAATCCACGGGTCTCGTCTATGACGTCACGGCTCGGCGACATTAGTCAGCTGTTTGCCGCCTAAGGCTATTAGCGCCGCCTGGCCTGGCAGGCAGACCCGCAATGCGTCACGGCTCGACGCTCATTGGCTACCGAGGGACACGTGGCGGCCGCTAATTGGCCAATAGCCTGTCTCGGGTCGGCTGGAGTGTGAAGCCGGTTGGAGACGGAGACGGTGTGGCGTGTTGGAGGGAACTTCGACTTCGGCAGGTCTTTCTGTTGGCAGCAAAACCTGATTAAATCAAGCTCAAGTTTCTCTCAAGCACGAAAAATGCTGTTATTTTCGAGCATTCCTATTTTGCATTATTTTCAGCAAAACAGATTTTGAGGAACTGTGTGAATTTAGATGTGCATTGTGCATTGTGCAATCATGAGATGCGTTTCCTAAAAAACCTTTGGCCCGTTGTTAACTTATTTCATGTGAAGAAGCCACAATTCAACATAGCTTCATGTGACGGCCGCCGAGACCTGTCGCGTTCAGGCCGCACGGCTCCCGTTAATTTCGAGCAGTTTATGTGGCGTGCGTTTAGGTCACAGCAGCCGCATTCCCATTCCTTGACGCCGGTGGGTCGCGTGAGGGAGAGAAATAGCGTTCCAGGCGCGAAGCACTGACCTCCTCTCCCCTCCCTCCCTCTCACCCTTCGACCGCCCCCTCCGCCGCTCTGAGTGAGGTGAGGATTTTCCAATGCTGCTTCAGTGGACGGTGTTAATAACGGTGGAGACGGAGACACCGGGGACGAGAGAGAGGGAGAGAGAGAGAGAGAGAAAGAGAGAGAGAGAGAGAGAGAGAGAGAGAGGGAGAGAGAGAGGGGGAGAGAGAAACGCGTATAAAAAGCTGAGGCCGTTAGTCATTGATGTTACTTGTCATTCCTCCGATTTATCCGATGTTAAATTGAGATAACAGGAAATTAATGCTTTTTGCACCTTCGAAGGTATTGTCTCCTAGCAAGCGTTTGAAAATTGACTGACTGTCCATAGGCAAGGTTAGAGTTGAGGATTGTATTCTGAAGTAATGGGCACCAGCTTTTGAGCTCCCATACGTCTATATGTTGTAGCTTTCTCTAATTTGACTCGTCCTAATGCGAAATGAAATTAAATGCTCATTCAGACATCCGGGAGCATCTGCATAATCCTCTAAAACACCTCAAGGAACAACGCCTGAGACGCTTTAAGTGATTTACTCTAATTGAATCGCAAACAATCCACTTTGCGAGTGGCTCTGTAAGATCTCACGCTCCTCTCTGTTCTCCTTGAGGAGTTACGCATTGTCCTGAATGTCTACGTAGTGCCTGTGTTTTACAGAATGCCTTTTCAGGTGTGACAACTGACAAGGCATATGTAATGCCGGCTGAATCTTTGTAAGATGACACATAAAACCGGTGTCCGATTGTTGCAGTTTGTTTCTGCTGCTCCTTAATTACCACGAAATAACGCAACAGGCGGCATTGTAGGTACCTATAATGCATAATTGCTTCTGCTACAACGAACACCATTTATGCCTTAGTTAGTTAGATATGTACTGCAGTACTGAAAGCCATTGATGAACTCTGGCGACTGATCTCACGGTTTCAAACACAGCCACCTTCTCTGCCACCGACCTTACAGCAGTACCAATGATCAGTGGCTCAGCCCGGTCTGAGGAGACGAATGGCCGCAGATCGCTTGGGAGACAGGCCATTTTCTGGCCGGAATGCGACCCCGACCACCCCAACTGTGGAGCTCGGACTGATCACTCGGGGGTCGGAGGTCGGCGGCGGCTCGGCACCGGCTGCCGAAGGTAAATAGGCTGGTATTACCTAAATCTCCGAGTGGCTTTGTGATTTAATTGCTGATTCATATCTACAAGAAATTCGTTTCGATTTCAAAATAAACGCAAATAGCGTCCCCGCGTTAGCTTCGCTAATAAGTCCAGCTGTTGATAATGGTGACTGTTTGCAGTTGCGGCCATGGTTGGTGCCCATTTTATCGCAGGGAGAGATTGAAGTTAAGTTGATGAGCCAACTATTGTATTGGTTATTTATTTGTATTAGGATCGTCGTTCGGCCTCTTCCGCGTCCACACGCCAGGTCCGGTCACCAGATACTGTATTCCCGGCACACCGCGCCGCGCGCCCAGCCCCTTTGCCCCAGGTCACCGCCCGCGGGCACGCCGCCACACAGGCGGATCCAGGGCGGCCCGCCGGGCGGCCCGCCGCGCCGGCCGCACGAGCGACTCCAGGCCGGCCGGGGAGGGAGGGGGGCACGGGGTCGCATACCGCAACCCCTAACATCCTTCCCCCCTCAAAATGTGCGAATGCGAACAAATGCAGAACAATGCAACCAACAAAACAGAACAGAACCTTTTGCTTACGTAGCCCCCCTTCCTGGTTCCGCCCGCTCACCCGCTGCCCCTCCGTCAGCCACACCCCCGGACAGCCGCACCGGTCAGACGGCATCCAGTCTTCCTCAGAGACCGCAGCGCCATCCACCTCCGGGTGATGCAGCTCGAGTTCCGCTATCCGCTCACTCGGATGGCTGACGCAGCTCGGCCAGCCAGGACGGGAGGCCGCTCAGCACCCTCCGCCGTCCCAGGTGGGTCAGGTGAACGCCGTCAGCCGAAAAGTAGCCGCGGTCCTCGTTCACCCAGTGCTGGCGCTTCCCCTCCTCATCTCGCCGTCCCATAACGCAGAGGGACCGTCCCACCGAAAAGAACCCGACCCTCGGCCCCGCCAGGGAGCTCAGCCGGCGGTCGAGGTCATAGGCTGCAGTTCTCTTCCACGCTGACTGAGCATCAACCTGGGGGCGTGGCATGGGTCCGAGGAGAGCCACGAAATGGCACGAGGCCACCTCCCTGACGGCCGTCACTATCGTTGCCCATGGAGCGTCCCGTGCCTGCCCGTTCCGAGTGTAGACGTCGTTCTGGCCCAGCCAAAACACCGCCAGGCCAGTCGGCATCCCACGACGCTCCGCCGCCTCCTCCCATCGCTGGATCACGGCCGCGAGGGCCGGGGCCTGGCGAGCCCAGGTGTTCCCGCTCACGGCCACGTTCATTGCCCGCACGCTCCCGAACAGACTTTTGGCGTGAGAGTCGCCGATGATCACATGGTAGCCCCGGATGGGGACAGCACCGTCCCCCCTCGCCATCAGCTCCAGTAGCGGAGGCTCGGGCGCTCCCTGGTCCACGATCGGGGGCGGGCTGTACCCGGCGGTCGGCAGCGGCACGGCAGCCGACCCAGGAATGCCCCAGAGGTAGTCTCCTCCGTCGGTCGGCTCGGCCGCCGCTAGGTCCCGGGCCAGGGGTAGGCTGTGCGCCAGCGCAGCCGCCGACCCGGGCCCCTGCGCGCCACCCCTTCCGTCCACCTCATCAGGCCGGCAGAGACGCGGAGCGCCAGCCGATCCCGGGATCTGCATGCCCCCGGCTACGTCCGTCCAGTCCGGCGACGGCGGCTTGGGCGCCCCTCGCCGATCCATGACCAGGGGCCGGCCGTACCCAGCGGCCGGCAGCGGCGACCCCGGGACGATCATGACGCCGCCTCCCCCGTCGGTCGGCTCGGCCGCCTCCAGACCCCGGGCCAGGGGCAGGCTGTGCACCAACGCAGTCGCCGGCCCGGCCGCCTGTGTGCCGCCTCCACCGCCCGTCTCCTCCGACCGGCAGAACCACGGCACGCCATCCGAGGTGATCTCCCCGACGCGGCCTGCCTCCGTCTCAAGGCGCTGCACTCGGTCCTCGAGCTGCCGGATCCGCGCCAGCCAGGCCACCCTGTCGCCTCCGACCAGGTCCAGGTCGACGCCCAACTCCTCCATATAATATGCCATGCCTGGAAAAGGAAGAAAAACGGCAGAACACCTACATCTGAGCGGCGTATCGTGACGGGGGTCGTACAGCTCTCCCACTGCGAGTGTGATACGGGATATTCGGCTTTTTGCCCATCTGCCCCAGCCATAGACTTTCTTCGGCCCTCTGCTGTGCCGTTGGTAGCTTACTTTGCCCAGGGTAAAGTTCTCCCTGACCCTGATTGACTCGGTCGTCTGGTTGTATGGCGACTCTGTCGCCGCCTGGGTTTCGCCTACTTATGAATGGTTTCAGTCTATTGTGATGTAATATAACCTCACCCCTTCGCGGCAGCTGTACTCGATATACCACCCCTTCATCGCCTCCTATTTTCTCTATCACCGTCCCTGGACCGGCGTAGGGTAAACCCAATTTCGTTTTTCCCCCCACCGCGGCTGTCGGGTCGGTCACTAGAACCGGGTCTCCCGGTCTGTACTGGACCTCCCGAACACGCCCCCGGTGCCGAGCTTCCATCTTTTCGTTCGCAGATCGGATATTTTCGCGGACCTTGGCGAACGCGTCCTGGATTCCGCGCGATCTGTCTTCCAGGAAACTCTGGACTGGGATGACGGGAGTGGGTGGGGAGAGTAGTGCATCGCCAGGAAGCCGCACTTCTCTGCCGTAGACCAAGAAATAAGGGGTATAGCCTGTTGTGCTATGAGTGGATGAGTTGTAGGCCAGCATCAGAGCTCCGACGTCACGGTCCCAGTTTGAACCTTGGGGGTCGATATATTTTGAAATCATTGCCTTCAAAGTCCGGTTGAAACGTTCGACCATCCCGTCCCCTTCAGGATGGTAGGGAGTTGTGCGGGTTTTTTCCACTCCCAATCTACGGCACAGTTCCTTGAAAACAGTGGACTCAAACTGCCGTCCCTGATCGGAATGAATTCTCTCAGGCACTCCGTGCTCATAGACCCAACACAGAAGTTTGTCTGCTACCGTCTCCGCCTTCTGGTCGGGCATGGGGTACACTCGGACGAATTTTGAAAAATAATCCATAACTACTAAGGCATATCTATTCCCGCTGCTTGTGAGACTCATCTCGGTGATGTCCATTGCCACCCTTTCGAACGGCCCCCCGTATTGGTCTGTCTGAAGTGGGGCGCTCATCGCCGGTGCTGGTGAGTGACGCCTCTGGCACGTTTCGCACGACCTGCAATAGGCCTTAACGTCACCGAACATGCCCGGCCAGTAGCAACGCTTCGTGACTCGGTCCAATGTTCTGTGCGTCCCCAGGTGCCCAGCCGTGCTGTGGTCGTGGAACATCTCCAATATGACAGGCTGTTTCGACGAGGGAACCAGGGGTAGAAAGCTACACCCTCTGTCGTTCTTCCTCTTCAATCCCACTACTCCTTCCACTTCGGCTAAATCGTCGAAATTCCGTGCCATAATTCGTTCCCTCCAGTCTAATCGTCTACGAGCGTGCCCTGCTGGTGGCCTGCCCTGTTGAAGCCAGTTGCGAATCTCGCTCGTCAGTGAATCATCCTTCTGAGCCGCCTTCAACCCCGCCTCCTGGTACCAGACCCCGCTCTCATTCCCCACCGAAGTCCCTGTTCCACAATGATGTTCATCTTGGCCCTGCTCGGGGAACAATGACTGAGACTGAGCCTGAGCAGACTGAAAATGATTGTGGCTGCTTGCCGGATCTGCTTCGGGGGGCTGTGCTCTTACAGAGCGCCTACTCTGGGCTGCCGCGTGAGCTGCATCAGGGTTTGCCGACAGTTCCTGGATTCGGGTCTCGCTGACCGGCGATATGATCAGGGCCGGTTTGTCGGTGCCTGAGCCAAGAGACAGGTTTTTTTCTGCATTACCCGTCTGTGCAGGCAGCCTGGACAAAGCATCAGCGTTGCTGTGTTCGGCTCCCTTTTTGTAATGGGTCCTGAACTCGTAGGAACTCAGCTCCACTGCCCATCGACCCCGACGCCCCGTCGCGTCGTTCTCGACGACGATTGAATTCGGCAGATTCAAGAGAGGGCGATGGTCAGTCACCACATCGAATTCCGCTCCTACCAAGTACTGTCTGAAATGTCGCACCGACCATACGACCGCCCATAGTTCCTTATCGTATGTCGGCCAGCGTCGCTCCGCCTTTGACAAGACTTTACTCGCGTAGGCCACCACCCGTTCTTGGTCTCCAACTGCCTCGACGAGGACCGACCCGACAGAACTGTTACATGCGTCAGTATACAGCCTGAATCGACCGCACATTGCCGGCAGTTTCAGGACCGGGGGAGAGATCAGCTTCTCCTTCAGCTCATGGAACGCTGTTCTCATGGCTTCCGACCACACCAGTGTGCCCTTTCCTGATGCGGCCTCCCTCAGAGGTTTGGAGACCTCTGCGTATCCCGGCACAAAACGCATATAGTACCCGCACAAACCGAGGAAGCTCAGCATCTCCGCGGCTGTTTGGGGTTCCGGCCACTGTCTCACTTTCTCTGTGTTTGATGGATCGGGGGCGATACCTTCCGCAGACACTCGATGCCCCAGAAAGGTCACTTCTCTCTTTCCCAGGTGGCATTTTTGTGGTTTCAGTTTCATCCGGGCCTGCCTGATTCTGGAGAAAACCTCTCTCAGGGTTGCGATGTGCTCGTCCTCTGAACGTCCGAACAATATAATATCGTCAATATAAACCAGACACTGTTTTGGGTCAACCCCTGCCAGCACCAGTTCCATGAGTTTTTGGAAAGAAGCCCCCGCATTTTTCAACCCAAAGCACATCAGTCTGAACTGGTCAAGCTGGTTGCCAGTGGAGAAAGCGGTTTTTTCTCGGTCTTTGGGTGCTAGCTCCACCTGCCAATATCCGGAGGCCATATCGAGAGTAGAGAAGTATTTTGCTCCGGCGAGCGAATCAAGCGCATCATCTACTCTGGGAAGGGGGTAGGCCATGCCCTTGGTGACTTTGTTAACCGCCCTCAGGTCCACACAAAATCTATAGGAACCGTCTTTCTTTTTGGCTAGCACAATGGGGGAGCACCACGGACTCGTGCTCGGCTCGATCACGCCGTCCCGCAGCATTTGCTGCCTTTGCTCCTCCACCTGCTCTCGCAGACGCAGCGGAACCCGCCGCGGTCTCTGCTTCACGGGCGGTGCATCCCCCGTCTCGATCTCATGTTGCATCAGGTGAGTTAGTCCCAAGTCGCCAGGGTGGCGGCTAAAAATATCGCTGAATTCCCTAACCAACGCACGCACCTGGTTCAGTCCCTTTTCACTCATCCCGGAATCAGATAAATCAACTGTGTTCACCAGGTCAACCGCCTCGTCTCCCGAACAGAGTGGGGGAGAATCCCCGCCGTCCTCTCCGTCGCTGACGTCGTAAATCCCCATGCCATCGTCCCGAATAGTGTACAGGGTTCCGATGTCAGTGTTCGCCAGGAGGCGTGCCTCACTGGTCGAGATATTTATGATCCTGACTGGTATCTGACCCCTTCCGTCAACGTCCGCGACGGCCCGAGACACTAGGAGATTATTAGAACAACCCTTTTCGTTTGGCTCCAGTACCCCCTCCAGCCTAACCCCCGGCCGCCACCTGTCATCCCCGTCTACTGCTTCAACAACGGCAGCGATCACAGTTTCACTGCGGGGCGGGACTGACACCGCAGCTCCCAGTCGGACCCGGCACCTGGATGGGCGGATGTCGTCGTATGTGGGTAAAGGTATCTCCATGTCTCCCAGCTTCAGGATCCCTCGCCTGTCGTCCAGGACCGTTCCGTACCGGCACGCAAAATCCCTGCCAAGTACCACGTCATAGATGAGGTGTTCCACTACCGCCATGGCGACGCTAAATTGTCTCTGTTCGATAAGCATCGGTATGTCGGCTACTGCTAGGATATGCAGCGGCTCGCCGCTGGCCCCCACCAAAGTACCCCTGGGACCTGACTCTTGTGCGCTGACCCCCGCTCCCACGAAGCTGCGCGCCACCTTCGCTCTGACGAGTGAGAAATCTGCCCCGGAGTCAACCAGCGCCCAAACCATTTGACCTCCGATGCTCACTCTTATCATGGCGGCCCTTTGTGGTGCGAGTGCACCACCCCTGGTCGATTCCTGCCGCGTGGAACCGACTCCGTCTAGTTTTCCGAATTCCTGGCGGAAACTCCTTCCACTGGAGCTGCGAAGTCGCGCACCCTCGCTGGATGTTGGGGACAGTGGGCCATCCAATGGCCCTCGGCTCCACAGCAATAGCAAAACGCCGGCCTACCAGCCTCGGCGTGCCGGAACTCTGTATTGGTGGGTCCCCGCCCGGGCCCTGTGCGTCTCCCCGCACTCAGGGGGCACCGCGCCATCCAGTGGCCCTCCACGCCACATAGATGGCACGCTGATGTGCCCGCTGATGTGGCCCGCCCGGCCCCCGAGGCTCGAGTCAGTTGCGGACAGTTCACACGGATGTGTCCGGGCGCCCCGCATTTCCAGCATCTCACAGGTCGACTGGGACCTGCACCTGTTGTAAACGATGCAGTGCCCATTTGCGAAAGAGATGTCTGAATGGCATCCACCTGCCTCTGGATCTGATCTAAACGCTCGTCTGCTCCCGGAGACGACCGGGATTCGAACCCTGCTGGAGATAACCGCAGCCCCTGCTCCTCGGTAGCGGGTCGACTGCGCACAGGAAGAGCGGCGCCATCACTGCCCCGCGCCCCCATAGCCTCCAACGCAGCGTGCTGACGCTGAATGTCACGGGCGTGGCTGAGTGCCTCATCCAGGGATGAGTGACCCTTCCCGAGGAGCCTCGCTTGTAAACCTGGTTCATTTAAGCCGCACACAAATTGTTGCAGGCTATTCGCCTCCGCACTGATTCGATCCGGATAAGCCTTACGGGCCAACTTTCGAACCCTTTCTGCAAAATCCTGAACCGCCTCCCCCGGTTCGCGAGAAGCCCGCGTGAACTCGGAATATGCGTGTGACTCGTTGACTTTTGTGTCGAATCTGTCGACAAGATGCTGTTTTATCTGCGTATAATCCTTGATGACCTTTTCTGGTAACCCAGCGCAGTATTCGAACGCTTTGCCTCCCAGTAGACCCAGCAAGAATCTAGCCTTCTCCCCATCCTTGCCATCCCTGTCCACCAATAATTCAAAACGGCTCAGCCAAGACTGCAAATCTTGCCCACCCTCACCCGTAAAAATCTCCAGGCGTGACAACAAGATTGTGCTCAATTGATCCATTTTGCTCCTGGTGCAAATATGCAATGATGTACAGAAAGAAAAATTGATGCTATTCCGTAATACAGAATGTGTTTTGAAGAGTCACCGGCTAACAGGTATAACACCATACACTGCAGCGAAAGTAAATCAAATAATAAACCAGCCCAAAGAATACAGCAAAATAACAACTCACGTTCAGTAGAAGTACCGACCGACCGCGCCAGTATTAGGATCGTCGTTCGGCCTCTTCCGCGTCCACACGCCAGGTCCGGTCACCAGATACTGTATTCCCGGCACACCGCGCCGCGCGCCCAGCCCCTTTGCCCCAGGTCACCGCCCGCGGGCACGCCGCCACACAGGCGGATCCAGGGCGGCCCGCCGGGCGGCCCGCCGCGCCGGCCGCACGAGCGACTCCAGGCCGGCCGGGGAGGGAGGGGGGCACGGGGTCGCATACCGCAACCCCTAACATTTGGAAAAAAAGATAAAAAAGATAAAAATTGAATGCAGCTATCTTGATCTCAAATATTTGTAGAACGCAGGTATATGCCACAATTTCCGGCCATGAGCTCCCCTGAAGAGGAGAGCACCCTTAGGTATGTACGCTGTGCCCATTGGGGATTTCTGAAGACGCCGCCGGACTGCATTGGGTGCTCCGAACTCCGACTGGAGCTCGTGCACTGTCCCATGAGCGACTTGTCCCAATGGCCGTCCCTGTCCCATGGTCGTCCCTGTCCCATAAGCGTCCCTGTCCCATGAGCGTGCTTGTCCCAATGGCCGTCCCTGACTCATGAGCGTCCCTGTCCCATGAGCGTCCCTGTCCCGTGACTTTCCCACCATGTGTCCCTGAAAAGCTCAGGCGCACCTTCCCTGCAGTACCGATTTCTGAGCACGCTGACGGACCGCACAGGAGTTCCGGTGTCATGCCCTGTCGGCTGCCAAACACGCGGTTCGTTTGTCGGGTTCGGGCGGTGCGCTGGCCGCGACACGGACCAGCCATCATTAATTCAGCCGCCGAAACAACCGTCTTACATGGCGTGCAATATGCACGGCCGCTACAGCCGCCGGCGGCAGCAATGGGCACCCTGAGGGGAGGGGGTGCAACGACCCGCATCCAAAGAGACGTCTAAATAAATATTGAATACCCTGTGAAAGCTAGCTGCCCGTTATTGGCAGCTTGAGCACACAGTCAGCTGGCAATGAGCTTTGGATATCGGAAACTTATTCGACTTGGCATCCAAAAGCTTCTTCCTCGGTAATAGCCAATGCTTATTATTAGGAAAACAGGAATTCTTAATTGAAAACAGGAAACTTTCCTCTTTCCATCATATCCGTAGGATCATAAGTTAGATACTGCATCATTGCCGCTGGCTACTTGTCATCGGTAATGAAATTTACCCTGGACTTGTAGCCTGCCTCGCATTGATGTCCTGTTCGAACTACGTCGCGCTCGATTGATAACGGTCGTCAGTTTAACACTTATCGCCCACTCGCACGCACGACTCATCTTCCGCGCTAATGTCTGTGGGGAACCTGTTAAGTGATTGTTGGTATTATGAATTTGTCTGCCTCAGGAGAGATCAATGGTAGCAGGTTCAATGTAAGATCCATCGTCCACGACCTTGTGGTATCACTCCGTAGTCCGTACCAGTTTTGTGGCGATACCGTGTTGTTTGTGTGTTGCCGTGCGACCCAGTACGCGTGCACCCGTGCAGTGATCAATACAAAGCGCGATATTTACAATCGTTCAATGGGAAAATCGGCGGCACACGGCTTCGGGGATCGTAATGGCCGGCTGCATCGGAATGGCAACAATAGGGTGACTAAATACGCGTGAGGAACGAGACAGCCCAACGCCGGATACGGATTGTTTGGCGCAGTTTGCGTAATAGCGCGAAGGCTAGGTATGAATACATTTGGTGTTAGGTAATTGCGCCACGAATTGAAAAGAATGACGAAGAAGTAATAACGATTATGCTGACGACATTTCTTGCACTTGTCGGATTACCTGGATTCCTGGTGGCTTGAGGAGAAGAGGCTATTTATTGGCTTCAGCAGCTTGAAACACATTCTGTTGATGCGGTGAATGTTGAAGAACGATTGTATTTCGTCGATAAATGCAATATCTGATTCAATAATTGATGCCAGTTTATCCTCGAATGGTTAGCTAACAGTGAACTAAACGGACATTTGGTATTGAGGGGACATAAAACCGAGCCACAACCTCGATCGAATGACCACTCAGGCAGCCTGGGAGAAATATGTACTCGTACATCGCCTGAAAAAACGCACTTGCTGGCACTGATCGATCACGCAGTCGTTTTCCGTAAATTGCTCGTCTTTACGTTTCGTTTCTCTCATTCCAGCCCAGTCGGACCTATCGGGTCTACCAGCTTACTGTGCCACCATCAACCAGAGCGTCGCCACCATGAGTTTCTTCAACAACTTCATCCAGAACGTCAGCAACACGGTCAGCAACCTGAATCTGAGTCCGAAGCGGTTCCCGTTCGGCGCTCGCCAGGAGAGCGCGGCCGGTCTGCAGAGGACCGAGAGTGCCGGAGGGGCGGCGGCGGCGGCGGCAGCGCGGGGACGGGGAAGTCCCCTGCAGGGAGCGGCCGCCGCGCCACCAGTGGGTTCCGTGGGCAGGACGGCCAGCCTGCCGGCCCCCTGCGGACCCGGCACACCCAAGTCGCCCCGCTCCAGTCAGAAGAAGAGACGTGCCAAGCTACTGCTGGCTACCTCGACGCAGAAGAGGGATATTCTGTACGAGACCAGCAACTCAGGGTGAGTACCTACTGGGATTGTAGGGTCCTCAGGGTGGCACCCCGAGGGTGCGCCAAAGTTCGTTGGCTGAAACTATATGGGGCATAATTCATTTTTCTAGTGGCTTACAGAACCATGCAGACATTAGACGTCTCGCGTTTCACATATGCAAGGGTATTCTTTGTTTTCCTTACCAATGGTCTAAACTGCGCACACGATCTGAGTAGTGTCCTCATGGAGTCTTGTCTCAGCCAGGTTATTAAATCGTAGAATAACAAAACTAGGCTCTTAAATCGTAGAAAAAAAAATCAATGTTTTATCCGTTTTATGGAGGCCATTGAAAAAGCCAGCTAGCTGTTTTGTGTTATTCAACCAGTGCGCAAAACCATACTCTGCCCTCTACTTGTTGCTTTCATCGGTGATTTGTAAATTAGTTTCATCCGGGTGCGTTCTCCACTAAAATTGACATTGGGTAGACATACTGAATGTTGCATGTGTGCACTCAGATGAACCGCTGGCAAAGCGGACAGAACCCTGGTGCGATCGCAAACTGAATAGTATTCAAAGGATGTTAACAAGTTTTAGAGTACAAACATGAAAACGTACACAACGGAACATGCAATCTTAGTTGACTAATGAAAACTTAACTCAGAAGTGTTATATTCCTTGGGCAGAACTGTCCTTTCATATGTGTCATACTCATAGCCATGTTAGAGATATTTTTTCGGAGGTCCAATTTTAGGCATTGCGAAGTAAAAATGACAAGCATACCGATTCTGTGTTTTCCATTTTCAGCCTAGTTTTATGCATATTTTTAGCTCTTTAGTGTTCTTGTCTGCAGCTTAGCCTTTTTTTGCGAAGAAATTTTTGGAATGCGTCATTCAATGTCTTCAATTTATTTTAAATTTTATTCGCTATTCTCTTTTCCAGTTGCCTGCGACGATGTCCTCTATTATCCTTATCTCTAGAAGGTTCTTATATTTTCATGTTTTTTGTTTTTATCGAAATGGTTTTGATTTGATACTCCTCGATTGATGTCAATTCCAATCACATCACATATTTATTCATGCATTCAATCCTCACTATCTCAGAGATCAATAGCATTTCATCATGATCCAGTCTCCCCAGCGAGTCTTTTAATCTTCCGCATAGCACTGCCCGCGGGCCGTACAATGTTTACATTATCCCGACAGCAGCTCGAACTTCCGAGTTTCATCATGAAATGTAATGCAGCCTCGCCCGTCTCTGGGAAGCGCCCACATACCCCACTGTTGGGTAATCATTACCTGCGCCGCCCCGGATTTCTCGAGAAATCCTCTTACAAAATCATTCCGCCGTCTGGACGGATCTTGCTTGAACGACCAGACCCGCGCACGGGACAAATTATGCACGGCGGGAGGTATGCGAGTGGCTTCAGACGCAGCGTTCCTGGGGCTTTCATGGGTCATTGTTCAGAGTGCGGAACAATTACACGGCTGGTAATGTGTCAGTGGGCCGGACACGTATGTACGGACCGCGCTGTCTCGGGTTGCCAGGGACGGTCCCAAGGGAGAGAGAATGGCGGCGGGGGTGGTGGAGAATGAAACCACCTCTAGGGAATTTGGTAAACCAGAGAGATGGATCTCAGCCTGTCACGTCCGTCGCTTAGTCATTTCATTGATATAATTGATTTCGCTCTTTTCAAACAATAAGGTGGGATATATTAGGGTTTTATGCTCACTTTGCGTATTGTTTACTCCTCAAAACAATACCTGCCTGTATGAACCCAAAGGATGAATTCTTACTGGTATGCACTGGCAAATTGTGGTAATTTAAGTAAATAAAAAATGAATCTTGTCGCTCAAATGTGTACCATAAGGGTACTCCATGAAAATAAATCGATATTATATCATGTTCATTTTCATACAGTGTTGTAGCCTATCGCACTGAGAATTATTGCACCGCTGTTGCTAGGCCATGGCATGCCAGCCACACAAGCTGGGCTACAAAAGGTCACAATTGTTGTTCCTGGCACAACTCTCATCAAGGAAACAGGTGTGGGTGTTGGCACTGATGCTGAATTAGCTTGTCCTCTCAACAGCAGAGCGTTGCACGAACACGGTACATCTTAAAAGCCAGCCTGATCAGTATGCTGGATAGATGAGCTCAGCGTTTGTTAAGTTTTCATTTCCATTTCGGAACATAATTGAATTGGCAAGACCAAGACCCAAGTAATGAAAATGAAGTTCATTGCTTTTACAGCTTTCCAATGCGTCGAAATGTCACGACAGGACGTGGGAAAATATTGAATGGTATGACGAGCATGAAGTCGTACAAAATGTGATGTTATTTGGTTTGCAGTAAAGAAAGAACGATAGTATTGACTATTGAGAAGCTTTTACTGTGTGCATGTCTTTTATAATTAAGAAAAGGCTGTTTGCTGTTTTATAGACATTATTTTTATATTGTCATTTACTCTTTTTCTCCCAGTATATGCTTCGTGTTTGAAGGCAGTGTCCTGAGCCAATGCTCAGATAAAATGAGTCGGTATGCCAAACTGCAAGTACACACACATTACATCAGCATATACAAGCATGCATTTTACAAGCAATTGGTTAACAAGCATGCGTGAGCATCAAACAAACATACTCGTATATTTACTTGCGCTTTCACAGAATTGGAGCGAGACTAATAAGTTCGAATTGATTTTCATTTGCCACGATATGGCGTATCGAAGTCAGAAATTTCACCGTAGGTCGCAACTTGCATGTTTACTGATCGACATTATGACACACTAGACACTAATATAGTATAAGGCCAAATTTATTTTTCGGTCAGCAATGTTTTGTACCAAAATATACGGCTTCTTCTCGGAACTAAGAAAAAACCGCCCAGACGCTTGTAATGAAACCATCGAAAAACTCTTGTCCCTTTTATTTTTAATAGCAATGAAAGGCGTGCTGCTATTGTGTTATTGGCGACACGGCAGCAGCGCATCTTTCTGTTATTACTACAAAACTCTGCGGACTCTCATATCTATCATTTATGAACAGCGGCTTATTCCAAAAAAAATATGTCGCTTTTCATAAGCTGTGAGCTATAAAAGCAATCGGCGTTTTTCAGTAGTCACTTTTTGGTGTCCGATTTTGACATTAACAAACAAAGTACCGTAAGTTGGCTTTCCTTGTCATAGCACACTGATCGCTTACGAAGGGCCAACAACCGTAAAGAATGATTTCGAAATGAATGTCTACATCACTTAGTCGAATGAGTAAGCTAAAGATCTAGCTGCTTGAAGGTGGAGTTCAGAGAGCTCAGCTTTGCTATGCTCAGACTTGTACTGAAAGTAAGCAATGAGCGTCATATTTTGCGATTGAGCGCAAATTAGAAACATCCAGTTGAATTGATAATCTACTATTACACAACTGCTGAAAACCAAAATACATACATGTCCTCCAAATCCACAAAGCATCTTTCAGACAACCCGAAGCCACCGAACGCGGCAGCGCACGCTGGCGTAAAATAAAAGTGAAGATCTACTCCGCTAAGTCAGTAATTGGTCATTAGCAGAGCGCTCCGAGGAGACGCGTAGAACACCTGCGGCCCTGTGTGACTCGAACCGGATTGAACCGCCCACGTTTTACGGGCGTGGCGTCTCGAGAAATACAGTGTCTGACGCAAAGTGCAGCTCGGAAATCTCTTGCAACGCCGCTGCTGCAACCAGGATGACCTTAAAATGTATTTTCATTGTATCTTCCTTTTCCTGAAACCTATGACATTTAGCAATTCATCGGATCTGTAGTTTCCTGCGGGTTCAATGTCAAGTTGTCACATATGACGCCTATTGGTATGAGGAGCGCCGCTGCAGCGCAGTTGCCGCTCCTGAATATATCGCCCGGGGTATCCCCCTTGCAGCAGACAGCTGATGCCACACCGGAAAGACGGTTGTCGGCCGACAGGCACGTCTCGTCAGACGGGGACTGCTGTCGTCTATCGTCTGTCGTCTGTCAGTGTCCGTTTCGTCTGTCGTCTGTCGTTTGTTGTCTGTCAGTGTCGTCTGTCGCCTGCTGGCTAACGTCTGTCAGTGTCGTCTGTCGGCTATCAGTGTCGTCTGTCGTCTGTTGCTCTGTCGTTTGTCGTTTGTCGCCTGTCGTCTGTCGACCGACAGTGTCGTTTATTGGCTATCATCTGTCGTCTGTCATCTGTAGTCTGTCACCTGACAGCTGTCACTCTGTCGTCTGTCAATGTCGTCTGTCGTCTGTCGTCTGTCTGCTGTCGAACGTCGTCCGTCAGTATCGTCTGCCGGCTGTCACTGTCGTCTGTCGTGTGTCAGTATCCGCTTCGTCTGTCGTCTTTCGTCTGTAGTCTGTCGTCTGTAGTCTGTCATCTGTCGTCTGTCATCTGTAGTCTGCCAATGTCGTCTGTCGTCTGTAGGCTGTCGGCTGTCACTCTGTCAGTATCGTCTATTGGTCTGTCATCTGTCGGGAGCTCTTCTCCAGCTGGGCCCGTCTAGTGAGGTGTGTCGTTGCGCACCTTTTCGCCCGGCTGGCCCCGCCGCCGGCGGCTCGGCGGCGGCTCGGCGGACGATTTCTATCGATCTCGCCCGGTACCAGTGGCCAGGCACGATCCCGACACCGCCGGCCGCCCGAACCGGCTCGTGGGGGCCATGCAAACCAGCCTAACGCGGGCCGCGACCGCGGAAATTGGATGAGAGGGGCAGGCGTGGATTTTATGTCTGAGGGCTGTTAAATTGTAAATTGATGGGTTAAACCAGGGTTGTTGAAGTGGCCTGGTTTGTCAGGAGGCCGTCGGTCGAATCGTGAACGTCAGACAACTTGCCTGCGTTCCTGCTTCAAAGTGTTGCTAGTGAATTGATGTGCGAGAGTGCTGCCTCAGACATTGCAGAGTACCTTGCGGTAGGATAAGCAATAATAGATCGGCTGACATTCCTGAAAATAGTCAGTCTTTCTTGTCTGGTAAATTCAGTTCGTCTTCAGATATGCAGATCAGCTCATATTTGCCACACAGGAAATCAGATAGGC